ATAAGACTTATATGATGAAATATTCTATACAAAGGATATGTGAAAGTTCGGGAACTTCTGCAACTTGGGGTGTCTTACGATTATTATTAAATATTAAAGCAATGTCAAAAGGTATTTGTGTTTCATTTTTTTTTGAAACATATTATTTCACAGATGCAGTTCATATGAGAACATCCCAAGTGCAACATAGATATAACCATCTACAGATCATAGGAAAACAAGGGCGACGTTTATATCTTAGAAATTTTAAACTTAAATAAAGCTGATGAGACATTGAATTCAATCAATATAAGCCAAATTAGTAGGTTTTAAGTGCATTTCTTGACACTATCGACATCAAGTTTATCTAGGATATGTCGGTTTCCAACAAGATTACTAACAGCTACTGATCATCCAGTAAATAGTCAAATCAGCTTTAAAACTAATCTGAACTAAAATTAAACTTTTTGTGCTTTTTGTATATTTTTTTTCGTATGGCCGGATTAAACTTAAATATTAACACTTTGAAGCTAACAAATCCTTTAGCAAGTTAAACTCAATGACAAATAGCAGATATAGATCTAGAAATCTTATGTAAAAACTTTAAACTCCTGGTAAGAGTAATGATTAAATAATACCATAGAATGTAAAACCACCTATCTGCATAGACTCCTAATTTTAAAATTAAAAAATAAAAAATTATTTAAAAATTAAATTATTTAAAAAATAATTATTTAATTTGATTAGCACTAATCCATCTAGCTTGATGATGTGAAAACTTTTTTAAGATGATTTTGTGTTATGGCATAGAAAATATATTTTCTATAGTCTAGTCAAGAAACTATTCTAGTTCTCTAACTAGAACTGGAGAAATTTTATAAGGTAGATCAAGACTATTCTTCCGCTGGCGAAGAAGAAAAACAGAAGACTGTATTTAATCACCTTTATTACGATATATAAAAAATATCAATTGTGAATCAATATTATAACAATAAATTAGTAAGTAATGATAGTATAAAATTACATTATAACAATGATAGTAAAAAATCTTACATTATAAATAATCTTCATAGTTCAATAACACTTAATGTTACATTAATAGTTAATACATTAACAGTATAATGAAAATAAAGTGTTTAAGAGACTCTTATCTATAAAAAATGATATAGCACTCTTTATACTTAATATCACACACATTTCTATAGCATATTTTTTACTTTTCTAGTTTAAAAAAAAAACTTACTCATATTTCGTTAATCAGTGACACTTTATTTCTTCATATTTTTCAACACATTTATAAAATTATCTAATATGAAATATTTTAAAACATAATATTATTGAGCATAATATATATATAATGGAATAAAACAATTATTAGATGGTGCATTACATATATGGAACTGCCCACTTACCTATAATTCCTTTTTTAATCTGATATAAAAAAAACTAAAAGCTATTTCTTCCATACATTATAAAAACATTATTTAAGTAGTCTCCAGTTATAAATTTTATTTTTGAAACATACAATATAAGACAAGTATATACATAAGATATGTAAGTAACTTCTAATTTTGAGTTTTATTATAAACACTGAATAATCATACTAATCAGCTGACGTTTTCTATGAAATCAGTAACTGTTATGGTCACTGCTTTGAATAGTTTTGAATTGGTTTTAATTTTCCATACAAAAATTATGAAATTTCTTTAAAATTAAAATATGTGCACAGTTTTAAAATTCACAATACATTCAGTAGCATTTATAATACATAAATGTTTCCTTTAAGCAGAACAAATGTAAAAAACTTTCTTAAATTCTTTTTTAATGGCTTTAAAGGGAATACTTTTTCGCCAGTGCCAAGCAGAAACTAAATATTGCAGTGTTTTTTGTTCTCTCACGCACTATCCACTACGCTGAAAACGTTTCTTTTAGATGAATAAATACCAGAACGAAGGACTATGCTTCGCTTCAATTTCAGTATTTTTTTACGAAAATTTCTAATTTAAGATTAAAAATTTAAAATAATATATTTTTATGTAGTAAGCAAAAAGGAGATTTCACCCACAAAATAATTATTATTTTCTGCGCCAAAAAAAACTTTGGGAATATATTTATTATTGAGGCATTTTCTCTAAGAGATCTTTTGATATGTTAGTAAATTTGGTAATTTGGAAATACTTTTGAAACAATTAAGATTAAATTATTAAGGGTGAATATTCTAAATTAGTTGTAATAACGTGGTGTAATGGAGAAAGATATATATATACCTATTTAATTGCATTGATTTATCACCCTAAAATCACACAGGACTAAGTTTGTTTCCTTTATCTAGCAAAGCTAATAACAAAACTGACAAACAAAAGCAGTAAAAGTGCTCTACGGAAGAACAATGAATGCATGAAGTGCTGTGACAAGGAACATACTAAGCGAACATACTAAGCGAACACTACTACAAGCAAGTAGAACTGGAGGAAATAGTATATTATATAGAAATTATAAATTAAAAGAAATCTATAAATTACTGGTGTAATGTCTGTTACGACACTAACCTTATAACTTCTTTTGGTATACGAAATTAGACATATTGAATCTGCATAACTTTATATAAATCTCCACAATTAATTTGAGTTCTTGATTTGACAAGGGCAGTAATATTCTTGTTAAGTAAGGCCGAAGTAACAATGGAAGTATCGGTTAGTATGATTCGATTCACTTCGCCAACGTAAAAATAATAAAAATGAACAGCAGATGTGGAAAAGTTGATATTTGATTTAACATACGTGTTTAAACATTGCATAGCCCTAGATTGCAAGAACCTAACCTAATTTTTGAATAAATTTATATTAAAGAGCGATAGCTGGTTATGTTCAATAATGTATCTTTAATAAATAATTGTTGTTAATAAATATAATTGTAATATAAAAGTTAATCTAACTCTATAGTTAAATTCATACTCTTGGCACTATTATAGTCAAGATTTTTGATAGAGCAATAACATTTTTATTCCTATACTATATGGCTATTTAGTATTTGGTTGATTTCTAGAACTAATAACAGATTTTCAGTACATATAATATATATTTACTTATGTTGTAAGTTGCATCACTACTATTCTTTAACTATATGTAGTAACTCACAATACAAACAATAAAAACTCTTAGCCCAAGATAACAAAAGCAGTTTCAGCTTCGGGATTAGAAACGGTCACACTGAATCATTTCAGTGAACTTTGTCATTTAGTTTCGATCTATTTTTTGCAAAAAAGTTTCATGGGCTTATGTGATCACAGAACACTCCAAAGTATAATTGCAATATCGATTGGTGTAAGCACACTGTATGTATAAATAAAATAATAAATAATATAAATATTATTTATAATATTTATTATTAATATAGTAATAAAATAAAGTGCTATTAAGTTGAAGAAAAGTACGACGAAATCTTTAACGCCCGTTTTTCTAATTATTAAATTTGGATAGATTTCATATTCTGTGTATTATATATACCATAGATAATTTAATAGAAACAAGCATCCAGATTGTCATGATTTTTCTAAAAGTCATACAAAATCCATATATCTTTTCGTTTATTTTCAAATTTCTGAAAAGGACTTTGATTCCATATTAAGTTTTGAAACTTTTATATCTCTTATTTATCCTTTATTATCTTTAAGATTATTGAGTTTTTTGGTAATTTAAGTTATAATTTCCGCTTCCCTCATAAAATACTAAGTATAAATATAAATATTAGAAAATTGCTATTAAAAAGAATAACTTTGAAAACAAATTTATGCTGTACATTTATTTAAACATTTCGTGCATAATCAAAGACATGAAGCAACAGGTGGCAACATTAAATTAAAGCTCTGCTCACTGTTTTCAAATGAAATTCACATTAAAACATAAATTAAACAAATCGCAGTTTGGAAAAAACAAACAAAAACAAAATGGCAAAAATAACAAATAAATAAACTTTGTAAATTTATGACCGCACGGAGATTCGAACACAAAGGCGCAATGTTACAAACATTAAAATAAAAAAGGACATTATCACAACAACCATAATAACAACCGATGCGATGCGGTGGTCTTATAAACACACGACGGAACGTCCAAATGCAGGGGGTGGAGGAGCTACTGGATGGGATGCGACACAAGCATTCACACTACAAAGCACGCATGCGATGAGAAATGAAATCCATACTGATGCTAATATACAAATGCTGTGTGACAGCTCAGGTAACAAAATTTTATTAAGCCCGAAGAGTACACATAAAGGATGCCTTTGAAGATGACCACTGAGCACAGCATTTAATACACAGGGGAGCACTTAAGTATTTGCAAAATATGTGTTCTTAACAAGCCAATAATGCCGTATCAATCTACATAGGTATGTGGCGCTGCGTGTACCAGAATATGTGTCCTTACACGATTTCATGTGTTAATATGTTTGGATGTGTCCTTCCGCTCGTATTTGTCGCACCGCTGTGCTCAAATGTAAGTAACAGAAAAGGTAACAAATTCGCTTTTGTTGCTATCCATTCGAAACTCTGTAACATAATGCGTTTGTGATTTGATAAAACATACAAATGGCTCACATTATGTCCGTAACTGATTAAAAATACGAGCAAAAATGTATTCACAAACAAAAAAAGCTAAACAGCAAAATACGCTCAAAACAAAAAGGACAAAAGGATGCTTACAACAATGGAACAAATCTCCGTGCTTCTGTGTAAATAACAATTTTTGTCTGTGTATTGAGTGGCTAAGAACAAATAGCAAACAAAAAATTTTCATATTTTTACGTTTTGTCTAAGAACATTTTGGGGAGAATCTACTACGTAAGTCTAAGCGGTGTGTTGAGTGGCATAGAGAACCGTAGGACAAGTATACTAGACACTGGTGGAAAGGAATAGCGAATATTGTGTAGAATATTGGTTGCTAATAATAATTTGCAGTTAAGTTGATTTTTATACATGGCTTAAAGTGGGTGCGTGCAACAGTGAGAACATAGAAGCTTACCTGTTGAGTATCTGGGTCCATTATTTAACTCACTTCCAATGCCACCATAGGTGAGATGATGGCTGGAACCACCTGTTCCCGACACAACAGCTATTTCGTCAAGCTCATGGCCGGGTGAGGTGCCAGCTGATACCAGTCGCGTTGACGATGTCGCTGTGTTGCCTTGTGAATGTTTGCGACCGCGTAGCGAGAGAACCAGCCTTTTGGCTGTGGACATTCCCGTGGGGTTCGCTAAAAATGAAATAAAAAAATTTATATTATTTCTATAATTGTGTTGAATATATAAAGTAATTTTATGTAGCTTTTATAATAAACTACTACAAAAAGAAATTTAGTTTATTGATTTTGTTTCAATACAACATTTATGTCAAATTTATCACTGCAAAAATTAGAAAATTTTGGATTTAGTTTGCCAAAATTTAAATATTGCTTAAAGTATTAAATTTGTTTACCATTTCCTTACGAACTCTCTAAAGGCAAATCCTTTTTAAAATAAAGAGACAAAATATATATTTTTTATGTTCTAATGTATGTCATTGTACAATAATACAATATGTCATTAATACAATAAATTGAGCTGATTTTTTTAAAACAAAAATCATCGGGTGACCCAAATCATATGCAATCTACATGGAGTCTGTGGAAGAATCGCCCTTAAGCCTAATATAAAAATTTACCTTAGGCAATTATTTAATGATTATGAAGTGGATGTAATTTATTTTATAATAAAAACAACAATCCAAAAAAAAACATTATAATGATGATCCAACAGACCACCACACCAGTCATTGTTCATATATATTAACTCTAGTTAACTTTAAATGTGTGATTGAATTATAATATACTTGAACTAGAAAACTACTTATACGTCAACTTAGAGTTCTTAAGATATTTAATTAGATATATGCTTAATTATTGTACGCTATTTATTTAGGCGCATACCCTGCAATAAATGTTTCATCATTATTATAATCTTATTGTAATTAGTGCTTATTTAGACATATGCGCCGTAAAACATGATTTATTATAGTTATCATTTGATTGCAAATTAGTGTTAATTTAGGCTCATACGCTGCAACAAATGTTCTAGCATAGTTATCATGTTATTATAAATTAGTGTTAATTTAGGCTCTACGCCGCAACAAGTGTTCTATTTTGGTCATCATTTCATTTTTAAATAGGGGTTATTTAGGTATACGCGCCTAAAAAGGTATTTAAATAATACCTTGACAAAATGTATATAAACCAAATAATTTGACTAAATAAATTAGTATTCTACAACTACTTAACTTGTATAATATCATTTTATACAATTTACTTCTAAAAATGTTTAACAATTTTGGGTATAGCCTATTGGTATGACATCGAAAATATTATACAATTTCATTCTCATTTCAGATTTTCAAGTTGACATTTATTTATTTAATATATTGAGGACCATATAGTTAGAATAAAAATTGGTGCACTTTTGAAAATATTTAAAAATGCAAAAAACACCTAATAGAGAACTAATGAAGGCATCATTAGCAATAAGGAACACAAAAATAGAGCAATACAATTTTGCGAAATTTAAGGTCAAACTTCTAAGCTCGGGAAATTGCAGGGTTTAATTTCAATATATTAAAAATATGCTCAAAAAATAGATAATTAAAATCGTTGTACTATTTCATATTCAATATTAAAATTCTCAGAAAAAAGGTTCAACAAAATAATCATTTTTTATAATTTTTTTATAAATAACAAGTCGACGATCCCTAGCAACGTTGCTAACGTGGCAACTGTCATAAGAACTGTCTTAGCGAAAATTAAAAAAAAATGTGATTTCAGCATTTTTGTATCCAAAATTAATCTCAGGCAAAATATTCATAGTCCACGCATCATGTTGGTTCAAATATACCATATGTTGGATTTTTCTAACGAAATGACCAGGTCAATTTAACTAGTATGTGGTAAGAGCATTTTTTTCTAAATTCAGCAATAGGCATCCAGGTGGCGTCCTCTTCAGCTTAGTTTTTATTTGTCACAATACTACCTAACTCAATGAGGTTCCTATGTATATTTCAATACCATAACCATCAATACAAATAGATGCTGTGTCTAGAAAAATTTAACTGCAATGGTTACTTTCTAAAATATTAGTTCTATCAACTGCAATACTAAGTCGTGTTTTTTAAGTCTATATTTACTAATACCAATCTGTGCTACAGATCAGAAGTTGGGTACCTTAACAGCTCATTTAATCATGTAATTGAGTGAACTGTGTTTATGATTTAAAAGCCCTGAATAAAGCAGGTAATTATTTTAAACAACTATTGAAGAGAACATGCTTGATCCAAGCATGACATATATGCTTTTCTGTTCTTATCTTGTTTTTCAATTTCTAAGAATGTATCACCCTCGTAATTCACAACCATTTATAAACATAATATTTTTGCAGAATTTTTGTATTATTTTGTTATGATAATATGCTTTAATTGAATGTTATTTTAAGAAGTCACAGACTAATGCCATAGATATTGAAAAACAAATGCTTTTACTATTGAGTACTTGACATAATTGAGAATTACTATTTTACCTATCATTATCCCCGCTTATTATGCTACATAGTACAAAATATAATAATAGATTGCCATAGTAATTATGAGGGAAGAAAACATCGTTGCTTATACAATGAAAACTATTAATTGCCTTTAGCATTTCTAATGTTCCAATTTATTTTAAAAGAAGCTTAAATTCTCCTAGGAAAAGGAATTGAAAAAGGACTAAAAGCTACGAAGGAAACTCCAGAAAGTATTTTTAAAAAAATATATGTTAAGATTTTGTGTTTGCCATTGAATTTTGACTTAATAAACAATTTTAAATATTCTTAATATTGCATAAATAAAAACTTTGAGTGGGTACCTCGTATAAGGTAAAATTATGAAGAAAGCATTTCGTGCTTTCTACACAAAAGCAGAAAAATTATAGGAATAGCTGAGCGAAAATAAAAAATATTACACGTATTTTGTGCTTCTGACAGGAAACGGAAACGCCCTTTAGAACTGACTATGGGTATTTATTACATTAATAATTTTTAGCTTATTTTTTATAGCACATCGTATATATTAGCATTATTTAAAATTTAAGAGACTTTGTAAATTTAAATAATGCGGATTTAGATGGAGAGCAACACGGCAATTAATTGGTAATGTCACTTGAGATGTTGGAAATTTGGCGAATTTGACACGCAACAATATAAGGAGGAGAATATAATGTTCTTATCAGAATTATTTTTTATTTTTTGTATTATAAGCCTACGTATCCTACACTTTAAGTTATTATTAACATTTTAGAACACTTTCAATACATCTTCCCGATAAATATGGAATAACTGGCCGAATATACTGGCATGCACTTTTCATATCTTAAATAAAAAAATAAAATAAATGAAAACTATAGAATAGAAATAATTGGATTTTCCCATAAGCAAGTTTTGTTGTATGAGCTTTAAAAATATAAAATTAGTATATAACTTAAATGTGAAAATAAGAAAAAATTTTAATGCAGTCCTGAGTTGTAACAAAACGAAATTATTATCCGAAAAATCCAGTATTAAGCCTCAACATTTTCAAATATTCCCCAAAATTTTTGATATTCATATGCATAAACATATTTCAAGGAATTTTAAATTTGACATTCATAAATTTAACATAAGTGAAAAATTAAAAAACAAATATTTTGCGCTGGCATGTAATAATAATCCACAGCACGTGTTCATTATAATATTCCAAAGATTAACTTAATAATGCATTATTTAATTTTCTTTATATGAAATTATAATATGCGAAAATACTTATATATATATATGCTATATACTTACATTCATAAAGTCATACTCTGACTTAACAATGTACAAACACTCGTGCTATCGCTTCAGCATAAAAATCGGAACTTTGCAAATTAGAAACAGTTGAACAACTGTTTGCTTTGCATTCATTATCAATACTTTTGAAATAAGCTACTTGCCTAGATATAATTTAATCGACTACTACACACAAGTAAGCAAACATTATCTAATTACCACACGCATCCATGTCAATATGAAATTCTAAAGCCACAATGCATTTCATCAGAACTGCCTGCTGCACAATCAATTCAGCACGCAAATTTACACAAGTTAAATTCTGCGCTGGTTGCACTTATATTGCAACAAAAGTTCAAATAAGCCAGGCACAACTCTATTATTTCCATATGCAACCTCATAGGAATATCCGTAATTTTACAATTAATAACGCTTCAACAGATCAATCGTGTATAATCAAGCACAAGCTTAGACTACAAAACACTCATACGCACTGTGGGCAATTTGCATAATTCTGTTAACGTGCGAATATACCATGAAATTATAACCTTCATGAGAAATTTTTAGAACTTACGTGCTAAAACATTTAGAATAGAATATCTTTTATTTATTTTTATATAACTGTTGTTTGACTAGAATATTTTTTTGATATTTAATATTTCAGTTATATATATTAAATGCTTAATATGGATATTTAATTCAAAGTCTTGGCTAATCAAGCGTCTCTGAACCAGATTCCGCTGAAAACATGTCATCAAATTACTAAATGTCTATCTCTATCTTAGACCCAAGTAACGAAAACAGCAAAGTAGAAAACAGACTATCAATTAATTCAATTCGAGAACCTGATCCATTTTCTAAAGGAAATAAAGACCCACCGGTGACATAGTAGACAACTTATGGTCGCTTCATACTTTATTACTTTTGGCAGTCAAATTAAATTGTATTTGAATACTTTTGCTATTCTCAAAATTTTTACTATAATAAAACACAATAAGAAGTTGAAGTGACCCACAGGTGGACATAATAGACAACTTGTGACCGTTTTATATTTAATTACTTTTGGCAATCAAATCAAATTGTGTTTGAATACTTTTCATATTCTAACTCATTTCATTCTCCATACTCTTAACTATTATAAAACTATAATAAATTGAAGAGTATTCAAAAATAATTACTACTAAATATATATATCATTTCCAAGTGGTATATCTTAAGCAATACCTACAACAACTATGAAGTACTAATCGAAAATTAAATTCTATATTTTCATTACAATAAATTTAATTTTTATTAACAAACTTCAATAATGTGTAGAACTTTATAACATCAATCAATTTGAGAATTAACTTCAAATTTCAGACAACTTATAATTAAAGAA